ACCCTTGAAATGGGAGCAGAAACTCGAAGCCGCCGCAAAGGCGAAAGCCGATGCAGAAGCCAATGAGAGGAAATCAAAGGCTGCCAAGCACAAGAGAAGGTCGGTATCGGTATCCGAAATCGACAGTGATAGTGGCAGTGACGTCGATGGCAGAAAGAGGACTAAAAAGTCTCACAAGAAAAGAAGAAAGCACGGCCGCCACCATTCTTCCGACTCTGGCGACCACGAGAAGAGGAAGGATAAGAAGTATAGGCGAAAGCCGAAGAGAAGATCGGTATCTGATTCTGATGAAGACAGCTTTTACGAGTACGAGAGTGATTCGGAAGAGGAGAAGAGAAGGAAGCACTTACATAGGAAACGGAGGCGTGGTTATTCGGTGTCTGATTCCGGTTCTTCAAGTGATGAGAGTAGTGACGACGATGATGCTGTCAGAAGAAAGAGGAACCGTGCGAAGCACCACAAGCGTCATAGAGCAAAACATTCTAGTCACTCGGATGAATTTTCCGGTGATGAAAGAAAGAAGCATCGTGTGAAGCACCACCGTAAACACCATAGGAGATCACGAAGTCACGATGAGACTTCAGACTCCGATGAAAACAGGCATGGTAGGAGGAGGAGATGTATAGGGAAGTCGTCGGATGATAATGATGAACCCAGTGGAATAGATAACGGAAAAGAGAATCACCGCCGCGACCACCACCACCACCACCACCACGACCGCGGGTCTAATCTGGATGAAGAACATTTTGAGAATGGTTCTGGAGAACCAAATTTGGATGGCCATGCTAATACGCCCGGCCGTGATGTTTAAAGATTCTATACGAGTGAGTTGCGGAATTCAAGTGCTTTTGACATTGGCTGCATTTTCGTTGTTTTCTATGCCGTTCGTATGTTGCACTCTATAGATTATTGGTACCTAAAATTACTCACCTCTGTTGTTATTTGAGATTATTTTCTGCACCAATACGAATTGCTATTTAAGACAATAGTTGCGCATGAATTAAGAAAATCAATAAATTGCTATTTAAGACAATAGTTGCGAATGAATTAAGAAAATCAATAAATGTGCATATATTATAAAAAAAAATAAACATGGGAAATTATTAGTTTACCCTTGTCATTAATTATTTATCAAACTAACCAATGAAGAGTGATAACTGGCAAAATTGACAAATGCAATTAATACTTCATTAGAATTATAAAATGACAGTTTGAGACAAAAAAAATCTCCAAAGAGATGTGTATTATGGGACATAGTGAGTATTATCAGCTACAAAACTACCCAAGTCTCCTACTAAAGGTCGAATATCTTTGCTTTACATATAAACGATTGCTCGAAATATGGACTATAACCAGAACACACTTTACTCGCTGCAAGAAGCACTAGTGGGGAAGATGAATATATGACAAAATTGGTTTTATTCTATGATTTTAATTTCATCCTTATGCACAGGATGTGTAAAATGAATGACGTATTAACTATTAAATACAATGATACACAGCAGCGACTTTGAAATCTGCGGTTGTCAGAAATTCTTCAAAATCTTTTCACTCGCTACTCCGTCAGAAACAAGAATAGAAGTTACCTCCTGAAAACAAAAAGAGAAGCAAAGATATTCAGGTTTTTATCGTGTGTGTGCACTAAAGACATAATTTGGACTCGAGCAATATACATAATTCATATTCAAAAAATAGGATCAGGGGTACCAAGAGGAATTTTAGTAACAATAAATTTGATCCATGCATAACGAACGACGTGTGCATATATACACCTAAATCCCTTGAAGGACTTAACAAAAGAATTCTTACGAAACTATTTACAGATAAATAGATATTAAACAGGCAATTGACAATCCGAAACACAACAGAGCACAACAGTAGTATGCTAAAACTCAAGAGTAATTCAGTCTGATCTGATTGCATATTAGGAACTACCATACGATAAATTTAACAGGAAACTTAAGTTCTTAAATTATCTAAAAGAATAACTCATTTTTTTATGCAGAAATTGATCGAAAAAATAAGTAGAAACCTCAGTCATTTGTCTTCGGCCACAGAGAACTGCACCAGTAGACTGAGGGTTCAAGATTCTTTTCGCTCTAGCAAATGCAGCCTGCAAAAGCAATAGTGAGAATCACAGAAACAATAAAGACACATCACAAGCATTTCTTCAAAGTCAAGTGTGTCAAAAACCTGCACGAAACCTCGCTCCCCAGTCCAACTATCCTCTGGCTTTGACAGCACTGGAACAATATTGATTCCGGAAGATTCCCAGTCTCTAAATCTCTCCTACAATTTGTTTAAAAAAGAAAAAAAAAACGAAAAACTAGATAAATCGCAGAACAGATGAAGAAACTGAATCAAGCATTGCTTCTTTAACGATTTTGCTCAAAATGTAAATACCCGATATGCCATCCTACTAAGATTTCTGGCACCATAATAGAGTCTCACATCGGCTCTCTTATCAGCACCAAAGCCTGCCTCGATCAGAGACCGAATCGGGCTACACATAATGAAACATGGTAACTAGTGATGCTTGAAATATGTCAAATAAAATTAGTTAAGTTCCTCTTTACATAACATGGTAAACATTCTTGGTTAACTGAAACAACCATCGTATACTATGATGGTGTTTGCAAATGCTTTTATAAATAGATTGATTTTTTTTTTCTGCACATAATCTGTTTTTAGGTATTTGCAAAACAAGCTTTTACTTTTGCTTCTCTTTTAAAATATGCTGCTTTAAGCTATAATTTTAAAAGCACCCATGTACCTTCTTTTGCTATTTTAGTTGGAAACCAACTAATTTGCAAACACCCCCAACTTATAGATTTAAGCACTTAATAGCAACTTAACTCACAATCACTAACTTCTGCTTTTAAATAAGCTTTTGCAAACACCACCTGTATATAATCTCAGAACCCAAAATCGATTTTCTCTTAAAGTGCAATATGAATTGATCTCCAAGAATAGAGGGGAGGGAAAAAAACAGGTGGCACAATGGAAATTCAATCAAAAAGAAGAAAATAACAGTCTTTAGCCTACTCTCACGAACAACTAATTTTCACCAATATGACAGATAATACAAAATTGGTAAAATTAATTATGATATTTATTAGAATCTCAAATGAAATTGTGATATTCGTTAACCTGATTCCGGATCCCGTGGCGAAAATGAGCACCGTCTGGTAATTTTCCGGCGGGGAGATTTGATCGATATCGAAACCGTTGCCTATGGCGGTACTCAATTCAACAACATCGCCTCTCTGCAGCCCGCACAGGAGCTCCGCCGTGGAGCCGGCGATGGATTTCACTAGAAACTCGAAGACGCCTTTGGAAGCGGCGATTGACGGTGGCGATGCGATGGCGAGAAACGTAGGCCTGGCGTACGGATCCCGGAGGCGGAGCTGTAAATACTGACCGGCTTTGGTGTAAGAGGAGGCGAGGTCGGGGGAATCGGCGACGTCGATGGTGATGTGGAAGTGAGATTCGGCGGCGGGGGTGACTTTTATTAGCCGTGTTGGTGTCCAGATGGTGCTTTCCTGGCGGACGGCGGCGGCGGCGGCGGAGAGAGCGAGGCTGCGGCGGCAGAGATGGTGGCGCAGGGGTTTGAGTCTGGAGAGGATCATGGGTGGGTGGAGAAAAGTTGAACGGGGGCGGAAATTTGATAGACAAACGCTAGAAATTGCTATGGCCGCCGAGGGTGGAGGGTTCAGCTGTGCGCTGGTCCACTTTAGCACCTGTGGGATTCTACACGGCACGTTAAAAAAAAAAACATAATAACATAATATTAAGGTCGACACACATTAAATTATTGGGGTACCAATCAAACAAAATCTAATTATTTAGTTAATTCTTGTCAATATTTCCAGTCAAATGATGTTTTAGGCCTTGTCGGTTGGAAAAATTAGTCATAATTAACTGAATAATAAGACTTTATTTGATGTTTGGTGTCATTAATAATTTGTCGGCCCCCAAATATTATATTATTATATCTTATTATACATTATTTTTCCCATTAAGGAGTTTTCTATTGAATGTCTCCGTACCCAATAAAATAGTTGGGTTTTTTCATTAGATTATTTAATCTTATCTTAGCAACCAAACGATGTCTTAGTATATACTCCTTCTGTTCCAAATTAAGTGTCACTTTAGAGAGTTTTTTTGTTCTATATTATCTGTCACTTTAGACATTCAATGATGCATTAATAGGGGTGGTAAACGAGTTGAGCCGCTTGATGAGATGGCTCAAAACAAGCTCGAACTCAAGCTCGAGCTTGTTTTCAATTGTTCGTGGGCTCATGAGTCGGCTCGCGAGCCTTATTTTATATCTTATTTATTGCTTTTATTTATTTATTTATTTATTTAGTAATTGTTTGTTTTGAATTTTATAATTTAACTAATATATATTTCTAATATTATATTGTTTAATAATTAAATAAAATTACTACACAAAATAAATAGATCAATCCGTCAAAACTTAAATTTGAAATAAAGTTCCTAAAAAATGTTTTATGAGACAACATTGAAGTTTAGTGCAACAAAAAAGTGTACATCTCATTGATTTTCACTAGGGAGGCTGCAAACTAAATTTGAAAATAAAATTCATGACTCTATTAATCTTATTTTGCAAGGTGTGGTTAAATCAATGAAGTTAAAGCTTGATAAATATTGGGGAAGATTTCAGAAATTGAATAAGATCATATACATAGCCAATGTTCTTGGTTAAAGTGTTAGAATTTTTTATTGTATTTTCATAAGATTGTCTTATTATAATTTATATCATTCAAAAGAGTAACAATTTAAAATTAAGGGTAGAGTACAATGTTCCGATATACCGTACCGAAAATAACGATTGCTGCACCATGACGACTGATCACGAAATAACGATGTGAGGCTCGGACTCTATTTGCTATCTCTTTTCATAGTTGACAAATAGATGCAATAAGATTCATAATAATATGATGATAGATAATGTGATGCGCGCACTAGGTCGCTCTCTTAAGATGAATTTCACGACCCCTTCTCTAATGAGGTGCAGAAAGGTTCCGATCGTGTCGCCTATGGGATACAACAGTCCGGTCTCTCCGTTGTAACTTCACCGGAACTGCACGTTCAAGTGAAGTAGAAGCGTACACCCAACACACACCAAGAGCTCTACATATGGACATTATATAGAGAATATATGATCTTTAGAAATCTAATTTTGTTTCTCTACTCTCATCATTTTACAAAGCCACAAAAGTCCCATAGTATAAAAAATGACCACCATAAAACCTCTATTTAATACTCTCATCTATTTAATAAAGTTCTCCACCACCTCCTTATCTCTCTCTTCAACCATCTCCGACTATTTTTTGTATTTGTGAATAATATGTAATGTCAAAAAATTAGGGAAATTAGTCAATTGCTTCGTAGAATCTCATTTCTCATGAGTGATCTACTTTGGTGAAAATTTCTTGAATAAAGGATATTATGAGTTATTGGATTTGAACATGACTGTGAAGCAAAGGAGTTTGTTGAAAAGAGGCAAACAATTAACGGGGTAATTTTGTCTAAATTTCATTTAGTCGATATCTGAACGAATAAGTATTAATTTATTGACTGAATTGGCAATATTTGATTCAGTTCAGAACTCTCTACCAAACCGGTTGAATTGGTTATCTCTGGCCGAATAAGAGTTTATTGTGTATTAAGAAACGGACACGGCGATACAGGGAAACGGTAAAATAGATTTTTTTTTTGTTTGGGGGGGGGGGGGATATGTTCCAAAAATGGAAATACGAAAACTTGGGGGAACGTGTAAATATT